CTATGCCGCCAAGGTTCCTCCCTGTGAATAGTATGGCCTACGAAGCTCTGTGGAAACAATTCTAAAGCAGTGGTTCTTCCTATTCTGTCATAAATGGTCACTATGAGTTGGAAAAGGGTGTCATCAGGCGAGGAAGCTTGGTTGCTCAATGATTAAACAACTGGCTGCTAACCCCAAAGGTCAGTGGTTCAAACCTACCAGTCACTTCAGCAAAAGAAAGATATAGTTTTTTGAAAGTAAAGGTAACCTCCTTGCACAGCGGCTAAGTTCTTGATTGCTAATTCAAAGGCTGCCAGTGGAGAAGTTCTGGAGGAGAAATTCCATTCCCTCCTGTAAATCCATCAGGAGTTGGAATCCGCTTTACAGAGTTTGGATTATTTCTGAAGGTCTAGTCCACAGACAAAGGTACTTTGGACACAAAGGCCTGGTGATCTGCTTCTGAAAACTCAATGCTGCACAGTTCATCGACATGAGTTGTCAAGAACAGAAGCGACCCAACGGCAAATCTGTATCATTTTAATGATTATATCTGAAAGGAACACTGTCATACCCAGGGACTACCAGGCCGGCGACTAGATGGTGGACAGGACACCTCCTGCAGGATCTGCTCTGAAGTAGCAGGGGCCACTCGGCCTTGTCGCCTGTCAGCCAAGAAAGGGCCCGAATCTGACCTCTGGGAGGGCTGGTGTGGGGGAGGGGCGGCACTTCACTTCCGGGTCCATCACCCTCTTCACCACCACCTCCACTTCACCCCAACGCACCCCCCAAAACAAACGGCTGGGTAACCAGAACACGCAAGGACCCAGCACCCCAAAAGCCGCGCCCACGCTCTGCGTGCGTCAGCACGTTGCTGTGACGTCAGCCCGCCGCCCTCAAAAGGGCGCTGGCGGCAGGGGGTCCGGGAAGCGTACCTGTGCGTTCTGCGCTGGGATGCTGCGGGATGCGGCGGGATGGGGGTGCAAACGAGGAAGGAAGGCAACGGACGCCAGGCCGAGGGGAGGCGAATCCCCAGAACTGCTCCCGGAGGACGAGGGCCGCGCAACGAACCGCGGGACAAAAGCGAAGCTGGTCGCGGGCCAGCGGCTTCTTTGGCAACGACCGCCCCGCCCCCGCTCTGAGCTCATTGGCCCTTCCCTGGAAAGTAGCCCCAGCGCCTGCTGCTATTGGCGAGGATGCGGAGCGGGCGGGGCGAGGTCTTTTTCCATTTCTTCCAGAGGGCATCCCTTTGGCTTAGTTACGGTGTATTAACGAAGCTTACCGAGAAAGGGAACTAAAACAAAACCAAACTCACTGCCATCTAGTCGAACTCAACCCCCGGGTTCCTGCCCCTTTTCCAAACACAAGGTCCTTTCCTGATAACATGTCCGAAGTAAGTATGTAAAAACCCTATCATTCCTTCTAAGGAACATTCTAGGTATTTTTCATTGAAGAATAGTTTGTTCTTTGAACGGTACAGGATCCCTGGTGGCATAGTGATTACACATTGGTCTGCTAACAACGAGGTCAGCCGTTCGAAACCACCAGCAACTCTGCTGCAGACCTATAGGGCCGTCTCCGCCCATGAAGAATTGCCCCGTCTCAGAAACTCACAGAGACCGCCCTACGCTGCCCTGTCGGGTTTCCAGGAGTCAGCATTGGCTCGATGGCCGTGAGTTTGGTTCTTCTTTTGGGTTTGGAGCAGGACAAAGTATATTCAATATTCTTTCCAAACACCACAGGCCAAACATAAATACTTCTGGCTTTTGTTTTGTTTTTTTCATTATCCAGCTTTTGCATGTTTATCAAGCGACTGGAAAGACCGTGTTGTGAGTTGACCACATCTTGGTCATCAAAGTGGCATCTTTAGACCTCATTTACTAGAAAAGAAGGAGCCCTTTGGTAGGTAGAGTGGTCTGTATGGTGGGCGGCTAACCAAAACTTAGCATTACATGGGAGAAGATGAGGCTTCCAGATTTGCAGCTTCCGAAACCCAAAGGGGAAGTTTTACCCTATCCTTTAGGGTCACTATGGGTCAGAAGTGCCGAGATGGTAGTGGATTTGGGGGTACTACAAAGGTTGTTTTCAACAGGGTAAGTCAAGCAAGGCTTGAGCCAAGTCTCTGGGAACCTATGGACATTTCTTTTACTAAAGTGTTAGTGGGAAACCTGCTGACAGTTGTTGCAGGAAGGTCTTTACTGAAACCAGGAAGAAGAGCACCTACCCTAGTGAGTCCTGCAGTAGCAGTCTACACTGCGGATAGGGCGCCGAGTGGGCTAGATGCCCGGTTGAGATGGGCAGTTCCATCGTGTCGTTGCTAACAGTAAGGATTGGGAATCAGACCAACCTGTAATGTTTTCTAACTCCAGAACATAATTTACTTCTCTGGCCTTTTTTTTTTCTTTTCTGGCCATTGTTTTTCTCATTAAAATTATACAAGCAATTCTACTAATTTGATAGAACTATGATGATGATTGAAGTCAGATTTGTTGTTTTTAGATACCATCTAGTGAGTTCTAACTCATAATGACCGTATGCACAACAGAAGGACACTACCAGGTCCATCCTTAAACAATCATTTTGTTTGAGTCTGCTGATGCAGACACCTTGTCAAAGCATCTCATTGGCAGCCTGCCCTTTTTCACAGACCTTCTATTAACCAAGTGTGATGTCCTTTTCCAAGGACTGGTCTCTCTTCCTAATATGTCCTAAGTACATGAGACATGTTTTCTCCGTTCTCACTTCTAAAGAACATTCTGACTGTACTTTGTCCCAGACACATATTTGTCCCTCAGGCAGTCCAATATTCTTCCCTAATGCCATAATTCAAATGCATCAACTCTACCTCAGTCTTCGGTATTCATCGCCCAATTTTCACACACAGATGAAAGTACTGAAAATGCCATGTTTGGGGTGGAAACAATACATATACACTGCCATCCCTGCCAAACTCACTGTCATCTAGCCTGTGCCAACTCATCCTCTTCCACCTTCTCCCTCACTGCAGCAGGTGTCTTCAAACTGCTGACCTTATGTGATTGGCGCCAGAGCCTGATACTACATCACCCAGGGCTCTTGTGGCTTGGGCTCGATGCATCTCAGGCTTCAAAGTGGCATGTTTCTCTTTAACACCTGAAAGAGATTTGTGCAGCAGATTTGCCCAATGTAATATGCTGTTTGATCTCTTGACTACTTCTTCCGTGATTGTTGGTTGTGGATCCAAGTAAAAGGAAATCTTTGACAGCTCCAAGCTTTTCAACATTCATCATGATATGGTCCACTCACTCAGTTGCAAGGATTTGGATCGTTTTTTATTTTTTTTATCTTTATCAACAAGTGCTTCAAGTCCCCTTTGCTTTCAGTAGGCAAGGTTGTATATCATCTGTGTATCACAGGTTGTTAATAAACCTTCCCCCAATACTGATGCAGAGTTCTTCATATAGTCTAACTTCTCTGGATTATTTGCTCAACATACAAGTTTAATAAATATAGTGAAAGGATGCAACCCTGACACACACCTTTAGGAAAAGGTTGGTGGAGGTCTTATTAGTAGTTGAAGGATATTGAGTCATCTATAAGTGGTAAGTATTAATAAGCAATGATTGTTTTTAAGTGTGAAGTACAAGATATAAAATCAGGAATGATAATTTCTTTCATCCAGATATTTTCCATAGAAGTTGGAGCTTTCAGGCAAAGGAAAATGTGAGCATCTTTCACTATAATGACAAATTATGCTAATAATTATCATAACCTGCAAATGTTAAGAATGTTTAGCAAATTAAATAAACTTTTAAAATGTACCCCAAGTTGTAGTATTTGTTCAATGTGTAGATTCAATGAAAGTAGCTCACATATGGAATATTTCATACGTTACGTAATAAAATTTAGAAGCAGAAATGTATTATCTGTGTGCAAATTAGGTGAAGGGTGGTTCCATTTCAGACCAACATCTCTGGATTCAGCAGTGCAAACCGCTCATCAGCCCTGGCCCATGTTTTATCCCACTCCCACTGGTTTCTCTTCACGCTCTCATGGACCTCCGTCCTCCCTTTCACTCAAGTCAATCCTTGCCCACCCGGACATCTATTTTAATTTCACTCAGAAAATAATAGTGCTATTCTGATGCTGCAAAATCAATATTCTATTTTTAGGGCATTAGCCTTTCTTTGGCAGACCAAGGGAAAGCAGTGCCCGAGTATGACATTTATTTCGGTTCTCTAGGTATTAAAACATTAACATAAATGCAAAATGAATAGCATAAGACTCCTGGCATAGGGATGCTATTTTATTCTTCTGGTATTGTTTGGAAATGCACTAATATTACCAGAAATTAATTCGACAATTAACCTTTTGAAAAAAATCTTAGAAAAGTATGAACCGGTAGGTGCCATAGAAGGAGCCCTGGTGGCAGAGTAGGTTAAGCATTGGGCCGTCCACCAGCACGGCAGAGGTTCAGACCCACCATTGAGTCTGCACGAGGAAGCTGAAGCTCTGCTCCCTGCGAGAGTGACAGTCTCAGAACCCCTACGGAGGACTTGTGCTCTGCCAGACAGAGTTGCTGGGGGTCAGAATAACTGCATGGCAGTAGATGTGGTCTGAGTGGATTTAGATGCCAAGTAGGAGCCGCCATGGTGAGGCAGTAAATCACTCATCTGTTACAGGACAGGTCAGTGGTTCAGACCCACCAGCTGCTCCACGGGAGAAAGATGTGGCAGTCTTCTTCCACAAAGATTTACTGCCTTCGAAGCCCTAGGGAACAATGCTCCTCAGTCCTATAGAGTTGTTAGGGATCAACTTCGTGGCAATGGGTTTGAGTTTGCTTTAGGTGCCAAATAATGAAAATAACTATTTATAG